GTGAGCGCCAAGTCGCTGACGAATCGCTTCGATCTCGTGGCGCACGTCCAGCGGGAAACGTCTTTTTTGCAGCAATTGCGCGGATGAAGAGGCTATCGATCGGTCCATAGGGTATTTAGGTATGTGTATGTAAGAACACATGTATTTATAAACATATGTATATCTAGAAACATATGGTGTTGTTACAAAGGCGTTGCATACGCATCGACTAGCAATCTGGAGGCGCTCGCCGACGGTTTAGACATCCTAGTATCTCGGTACTGCTAAGACAATGGTGCCAAATACGCGATATTGCTTGTGGCGTCGCTCGCAGGCGTCACATATGCCTTCGTGTGCGCGCCGCTCGATCAAGACCATGCCTACGAGTCCATCAGCAGAGATGGCCCAACCGATCAATTAGCGCTTGTCAAGCAACTAGGTTCCTAAAATGTTGCTGCCACGTCGTTTGTATGGCGCGCACTCGTTTCGCTCCCGCCTATTTTCGCGCTACTCGCTTCGATCGTTCAACCGCTGCCTCCCTTGTCCAGCTCAGCTTAGTTGTCGATGATGACACTTCAAGTCGTCAATGCGATATAGTGCGATGTGTCCCACGCTCCATCCAGCCCTACTACTTGAGAACGGCGTTCCGCCCTCGCTGCGACGTCGGCTTCCTCTCGGCCGCGGACCTCGCCTCGCCTTGACAAGTTGCTGTAGTTGGAGCGTAGACAGAGTGGAACAGTTGGATACAAGGGTACTAGTACATAAGACATTTCTTTAGTTTAGTTGCTGCTATCACGCCGCCTCTCGCATGCGCGCGGAGAGTGCGGCGCATATCGACGGCGTCAGCGCGCTGGCCTCGCCCACAAAAACAAGCGCTTCGAGCCCAAAGCGACATGCCCACTGGCGCCAACTCGCTTGCAGGTAGGCTTGGTCCAAGCACCGGCTCGGATCACGTTCCAGAAGCCAGAGCAAGCGCATTAGCGATGTCTGGGTCACGACAACGTCCTTCACGCATGCGTCGACATGGTGCAGCATTGTATTGAGAAGCGACTCGAGATTGAGAGCCGTGTTGTGCGCAAGTGCCATCGAAAAGGCCAAAGGTAAATGCACGAGCGGCCGACGCAGCTCTTTGCACACTACGTCAACCACTGACGCCGTCGGTGGCCATAGAAAGCCATCGACGAGACTGAGCGCGACGGCAGGCAAGTGAGCCTGAAGCCATCGGTCCGTGTCGGCGCCACGGTCGCAGTAGTGCTCCATGTACAGTGCGTCAGCGACGATTTGCTGAAGCGTGTCGTCTGGCATCGGCTCCAGAACGTGTGGCTTGAGAAACGCCGTGTGCAACGTCGCCCACAGCCGCCGGATGCACTCGTAGACATAGTCTTGATCGAGCGGCGCACACACGGGAGCATTTGTGACACCAGCAAGCGATGCGACAAGCAATGTCGCGTGTTCGACTCCATTGTCCGAGCACCATCGAGACACGAGGATGTTGAGAGCATCGGCCAGCGGCTCCCACCCATACTTGGCGAGCTGGTTTTGGATCCACGGAGCTAGCAGTGACAGTGGACACGTCGCGCTTACCGTTGCGCACTGTCGCAGAAAGCGACGAATGCAGTCGACGTCGCCAACGTCGTCGAGCAGCTGGAGCATCGCGTCGTGGTCGGCGGCGGCGGATGGCCACGGTGCGAGCGCGTCACGACGCTCGTTGTGCAAAAGACGCTAGCAGCGTCGGCCACAAACGCCCGCGCAACCGCAGGTGCCTCGGCACGCATCGCAGTAGCAAAAGCAGCACCGCCCATGACATTGACGAGGTGCTGCTTTGGCCAAAAGACCAGAACGACGTTGATACCGTATCGAGGTCGATTGGACGGTGGCGTCACGAGCTCTGTGATCTGGACGTGGCGCAAGTCGGTGGACGCAACGGTCGCCGACTGATGGTGCCTCGCAAAGTGCAGGATACCATCGACCTCCGAGTACACGGCGAGACCGATGCCGTAGCACTCGGATGCGAGCAGAGCGTCAAGTAGCGCGGTATGAGTTGGCTCGAGGGCGCCCCAGTCCGGCGCTGCATGGCGGCGACACAAGTGGATGTGAACGCCATACAGAAGACCGAGAGGCGGGTGCATCGCGAGTTGCTTGAGAAACAAAATGCTTCGGTAAATAGGACCAACGTCTCGATCGGCATGCAACGATGCGCGCAATACGTGAAACACGAGGGCCACGCGCGGAGGCGCCTTTCGCACCGTGGTGCCAGTACCGACGAGCTTCGTTTCCGGCGACAGGAGGGCATAGTGCACACAGTGTGTCTCCAGCTCGCGCCACGGATGGGTGGCAACGCTGTCTTTTTGTACAAAGTCCAAGCCGAGTTGACACGCGTCGGCTGGTGCAAGCAAGACGACGAGGGTCGCGATCGCATCGTCGTGGCGCGTGATTGGCGCCAAGCTCGCCGCGTCGTGCAGCGAGTCGATGCTGAGGTGTGAGAGCGCGAGGCGGTCGTCGGGCCGGATACACTTGAGCACCGTCGAGAGTTCACAGTGCAGTGATGAGGTCCAATCGTCAGAAATCTCAACGTCGGCCGCTGGAACGATCGTTGTCTGGCGGATACGCTTTGGGCCCCAGACGAGGACGACATTCTCGCCAGATACGGCTTGTCGACGCAGCAGTGTCGCCGATTTTTTGGGATAGCGCTCGGCTACTTTGCGAAGCATCGGGTCGCTCGATGGCAGCTTAAGTGGTTTGGACATGCCAGCAATCTGGAGCACGGGAAGACGATGGTTGTAAAAGAAGTTGGTCGTCAAAAGCGACGGAGGGCACTCCAAGATCGAGGCCAGAGTCATCGGCTGGTCTCCTACCGAACCCCCGTGGTGCGCGCCAGCCATTCTCGAATATGTGGCGCGCACAACCCTCTCAATCACCAACATTCTTCGAATACAAATGATGTATATCTATATTTGGCCAATGCCAGGTCGAAGAGGCGAATCAATGCATTTCGTTGGCTACTAATTAGCCAATCCAATGCTGTGCCGTCCGATTGTGATCGTCAACAATCAACGCCTTGCCACCACCAGCAGCAGCGCAAGAACGAGCATGGTACCTGGCACTACGCAGCAGGTCATCGATCGGTCCTTCCATCTACTACAGAAGTCATTTAGCTTGCACATGTGTATACCATGTCTAATTAATTGTGCTTAAATGCACGAGTGGCAGGCTGGTCCTCGATTTTGATGCAGCGATCTCGAGAAGCTAGCGTTACGTCCTGGCACGAGTCGAGCGTGGCCAAGGCAGCGGCGCGCAAGAGGAACCGCATCGAAGCACGCCACGATCGCAGCCGAGACGAAAGTCGCACGTCCGAGCACCTCGAGCGCGCGATTCGTGGGCGCCACAACGAGCGGGCGTAGGCGAAGATGCGTCAATTGCTGCCCGCGCGCTCGCCGAAGGCGTCGCCCACGAGGCGCGCGCCAGAGGATGTTGCGGTGCGCACGATGCTGGGCAGCTTGTAGCCTCGTTGCAAGTCTAGCGAGCGAGCACGAGAGCGTCATCATCGCCGGCAGTCGCGTGCCCATGAGGCCGTCGATAGCATTGACAGGGTTCCGCCCTTGCGGTGACTCGGTCACTCGTCAGGCATGCTGCAACGGCGCCATGTTTGCCGACGCGGCGTGGAAGCGCCTCAACATGGCACGGCCATCGGACGTCAGTGCGGCGGGAAATGTGCAAGATGTCAAATGGCCGCTGGGGTGCTTACTGATGATTGGCTGAAATAGGACGCTTACGCGATATGGGTTGGCCGCTCAATAATAATTAATTTGGCCCTTGCGATTGGCTAAAATGCTGACATGACATGGTGGCAATGGATCCGCGCGGCAGCCGCCGGTGGGGTCGATCGGTCGGCCAACTTGAGTTTTCAACAAAGTCGCTCATACTTAGCGAGGTGATAGAGGACACTCTGGAGAGCTCAAAACACCTCGTCACGTCGACGTGCGCAATGTCTAGCGCCCTCTACGGGCTGGCCACTAATGGTGGCATACGCCACATCTAGACACATACCACCATATTTAGTGCTTGACCAAGTTTCGTTCAATTGAATGCACAGCTTTAAGTACGGCTTCGAGCATCGTCATCTACCTATTTCCTACTTTGATGCATTGAGAGAAATCGGGAGGCAGCTGCGTCGAGGCGCTAGGCGATGATGCTCTTCGGAACCGAACCAACTTGCGTCTGCGCAGCGACCGGACGCTGAGGCAATGCAGCCGATCCACCGGCCATGAGATTCCAATACATTGATCTCAACAGGTAGACATGCGCTACAGGTGCAGTGCGTGGCCATGACGCCGTCGTCTGTGACCAAGAGGCGTCATCACGACGCCATCTCGAGCCCTTCCTCTCTTCCGACAGTTTCCCATCTTCCCAGAGCTTCAAGAGACGATCGTCATGAAGCATTCGTGTACTACATGCTCGGTATACTCGATGAGTCGTCAACTACATGCATGTTGAACGAGGTCCACGGGAAATGTCATCACGCAGGTATGCATCGCGAGGGGCCATACCTCGACACTGCCCGCTGCCATCGGTTCCTCTGATCGTGGTAGCACAGACGTCGTGACACCAGGTCCTCTTCATGGCATGGGCGTGCTGCTGGAGAGCTGGCACTGAAGATGTACGAGCGGGGGTTTGAGCCGGAGGACACGGAGCTGCAGTCGGATCAGTTGCTCTGCCAAATGAGGTATCATTCGCATCGTCTTGGATCGCCTCGACCTCCATGACGAGGTAGGAAGCGCGTCCATGTACCTTCGAGCGCCTGGAGCGCTTCCTCCTTCGTCCGCAGGTCGGCCGCGGCCTCGGCAGTCGCCCGCGCCAGCGTCATCGTCTCCATCGCCGGCTTCCGATCAACTGAAAAATACGCGT